AGCCCGGGCAACTGTACAACAGCCAAGCAAAAAGCAAGCAAGCCAATGGTGCAGCCTTTCTTCCTGAGCCTGGAACCAAGGACTTAAAGCAAGGACACGTTATGCAAGATATCACATTCAATTCCACTGCCAGCCTCTGAGGCCAGATGATACACATTGAGTGCGTCTGTCTCTCGAGCCCTCAATGTTAATCAACACTCTTTCCAATGCATACTTATGAGTTACAATCTACTCCCCATGTCTTCCCTTTGGCAGCTTAAATTAAGTCGCAAATTTGACGGCAAATTAACTTCAACGGGGACGGTAATATGTCACCTATACAGCAATCTGTGCCATTTCTCGCCGGGGCAACACAAATCTTGTGCATCTGAGAGGAAAATTAAATCAAACAAATCATTTTCGTGTGAAAGTCAAATTCGAGGAAACACAAGAAAGAAGGCGTCACGCGGCGGGGCCATCGGCTGTTAACAAATCCCTCTGATGACAAAGCCTTGCATAATCGCCCAGTCAACCTTTATCATTGTGATCACAGAGCTTGAGATTTAATGCATGCTGGTATTAGCTGTGACATACAGTCACAATACAGTTGAGGTGGGAGGAACACATGCTCAGACAGTGTGTGTGTACGTACATGTGTGTGTAAAGGGGAGGTGGATGTGGAACCAACAGAGATCTCCCCACTTCATCATTGAGTAAATGGCACCACAGACGTGAGCTGCGACTTCACAGCTGCCTCATGGCGGGTGACATTGAAGCCCACGCATGAACACATCGCTCATCAAAGCGAATGAGGCGTTCTTTGCTTCCTCTCCTTGTGCCGAGGAAAACAATGGCAGCCCCCCTCAAGAGCGCACTTGCACACCTGGAATGCCTACAATGAGTGGAGATGGGAATGAAAAGGGAAAAAAAAAAAAAAAAATCCATTTGGTTTCATGCGTCTCTCACAAGTAGCTCAACAGACTGTGACCTTCTACTGCTTCGTAATGGGAAGGAAACGGCAAGACCCCGGTGCCATAAAACGGCTCAGAGCGGGTGCTAACAGTGGTTCTGCAATTAACCTGTCTTAAAACAAACAAGAGGCTTTTGCTTTAACAACAGGCGCATACTTGAGAGGTTTGATTTCTGCGGCGTGAAACTCAAAGGCGCACCAGGGTTCAGGCTTTAATCGGTCATTAGAGTGCTCATTTCGGCACAGCTGCGCTGAGATCTATACTGCTAAAAGCTCACTCAACGTGATCAAAAACCAAAACAAAAAAGTCAAAGCTCTTATGTAGATCCCAGCTACAGAATGATCCACCAACAAATGTCTCAAAAGCCCTCCAAGTCTCTTCACAGACAAAGAATACGGTCTTATCACTAATCTTAAAGTGTTAGAAGAATGCAAGTAAAAAGCAGAAAGCAACAGAAATATTGTGAACGTACATTTTAGCACACAAGCAGATCCTCCTGAAAGTTCAGTCACATAGTTTGAACACAAAAGCTCCACTCTTTCTCCTTAACTGTCCTCTTTTCTCTAAGTGGAACCAGACGCAGGCATTTCTTCATTTAGCCCATTCAAATGGAGGCAAGTTGCTGTTCTTTATTTATTTAACAAAACGAGCTGTAAAAGCCAAACATTAGGTCATGGAATATTTTCAACCCGAGAAATAAGTCAATGCCTTCAATGTGACATCAAACCCAGTTTAAGTATTGCCCTACAAAATATGAGCTGGTGAGGACCTTTTTCGAAGTCAAGTAGTGCTGTGGGATTTTTCTGTTTTTTAAATACAACTTTCAACAGTGTGGTGCACATGCGTTTCCAATTAAGAGCTCAGAGCCAACATCCAAGCCTGGGCCCCATTCACCCCTTCCACGATTGACCAAGTCTGAGGAAATGTTAAACAGGCATCATAACCATAACAGAGACGGCATATTTTTCAAAAGCCTTTACTTTCCAAACAATAATTAAGACATCACAGTGAATTGATGATACAGTCTGCAAACATCGCACAAAATCTAAATAAAGAAAAGAGAACATACTTAATCATAACTTTTTTTGTGACGCGTTCACAGCTAGGGCACTTAAACATAACAATTTGTCCCTTTGGTGAATGGGTACAAAGCGTGCTTACAGTGCAAAGAAATAAAATATGTCAATGCTGTTGATTTGTGAGGATCATAATGAGAATGCACGGTTTACACGAGGCACTCAGAGTAGGATCTACTTGCCTGGCAGCAGCAATAACTCCCTATGAGCCTGTCTCTGCTCAGACTTCAATCTCTGGGCCCTAAGGAGCTGTTGGAGGACTTTGATGTTCTGTCTAAATGAATTGACTGTGCTTCTTGATACAGCCCTCCAGTCAACTGACTCCCCCCACCGATTCTGTCACCTGTGATAAACACCATGCAAGCTCAGCGGTACCAAAATCTGGATCACATGCTCAGAAAGGCCACTTTTTTTCTCCCTTCGACTTTGTAAATGACTGAAAAAAAATATGATTGTTGTTTCCCGCCGTGCCCTATCTGAGCAGAAGCCCTTTGAAGTGTGAGGCAGTATGTGAGCAAGCAATGCTGGGCTGGTTTTTGTTACCTTACAGCCCTGCAACATCCAGTAGGTGAGCCTTTATGTTGGATGCCCCTTCAGGGCATGATGTTTGTTAGAGCCTGGGCAAAGGCAACAACCTCTAACCCACTTCTATCATTGCTTTTTTTATTTTTTCTTAGGAATCAGAGCCAGAGAGCTCTGCATACTGTACAAGCTTGCAACTTCACTGACATGATCCAAACAAGATCTAAGGCTTATTGAGAAGCACTGGTGCACAGCTAAGGAAGTTCATATGTGTTAATACATCTACCTTGGGACTTCTGGTTTGTGACAGTGTGTGCTTTGAATATGGATAAGTAGTGTAGTGTGTGACATAATGCATGGGGGGGGGTAAAGTCCCAGTGCTAAAGATAGTACTAAGTGCAACCAATCAACGGCTAGCAAACACTGCAACGGACGATTTCGATCAAAGAGTGGGGCAGAGACCGTGGTTAGAGGGAAACAATACTTATCCATCTAAGCTTCAGCTTGGTCAATTCTCATTTGACTAAATCCAATTACCATCGATTCTGCATCTTCTTAAAGCCGAGGTTTAGGTTTTCCTTGATAGTGCAGAAATCTTAACTCGGATGAAGCGGCAGTATTTAACCTATTACAGCCTCCGATGAAGCGGTTGGGTTTTGGAGGAAAGTACGAGTTCTACTGGCAAAGGCATTGATCCTCCCACACTCTGGGTTTTCCCAGCGTGTGCAGCGATTCTTGTGCAAAGCCTCTGAACACCTCTCTCTCCTCCAGCAGCGATGGTGCTCCTGAGCAAACCTGCCCTGGATCGAGCATCTCATTTAGTCACTGGGCCCTTTGATGTGGATTCAGTGCTGCAGTGCATATCATTCGTGTTTGAAGGTTCAGCTTCCACAATACAGCAGGGTTTGAAGTTTCACATATTGCAAGTGCTACAATGTGATAATCTGGGAGCCGGTTATGCATTATACATTTTTCATAAAAGAACACCATCACCTGAAAGTGAAATGTGGAAAAGTCAGCGCTTCAAGGTATATATTGACAGAAACTGTTTCTGAGACTTCTGGGTGTGGGACGAAAACACTCTTGTTATCTTGAGCATTTCAGAATCAGCTCTACATCTTCCCTCGGAAGGGGGTAAATATCCAAATAAACAGAGTAGAATAACATTTGACTGGGGTCTGCCATGCCATTATAAGACAGAATAATTTAGTTGACTGAACGTTTCTCACAGGGCACAGAGGCCATGACGGTTCTTTCTCCAGCAATGGCCAGCAGTAAAAAATCTATCTCCATCTGATTTCACAAGGGAGTTGATACGCAACTTGGGGCACTTCCTTCAGTGTCTTCTTAAATAAAACATGAAAAAATCCTTGTCAAGGTCTATGCCTGACCAAACCGAATGTATGACTTTGGTTAGTGTAATGACAAAAAAGGAGCATTTTCAAGGCTGTAATTGACTCAAGAGGAACCATCAGTTTTTAAAATCAAACTGCATCAAGCAGACAGGATTTTAAAAATAGGGAATGTTATTTCCCACAGAATAAAATTCAGTTGGCAATTCATGTCTGTGAGTGACTGAGGTTTATGTTAACGCCTCTGATTGTGATAATTAAAGAGTGTTTGTATGGAGGTGCACAGCTCTGCGTGTCTTTTTAAAAGGATGCTTACTGTCTCCAAAGCATGGAGATGTTGGCAGCCCGAGGGCCTGCCAGCTTTTCTATTCCCTCTCTCTGCATCTATCTTGTGCTAAATACACACAAATAAAAATGCACACACACACACACATAGAAATACCAGTTCTACACACTGTACTGACATGTACAAACAAAAACCCGCACATAAGAAGGAGTTGGCGCTTTCACAAACATCAGCCTCTCAATTAGCTTCTGCACTCATTTCTTCTCGGAAGAGAATTATTTTTCAGCTGGGTGCTTTTTCTTTGTTTATTGTGAGCAGACCAAAGCCTTATCAGGAGCTAATCACTGCATGTCAAATTCAGAGACTCACTGCAGTCACTTAAAAAAACTATAAAGGATTCAGTGAATAATCTGCTCAAGTTCAGATTGCCATTTTAGATTTGGACAAACACCAATTTCTTTTAGATGCTTAAATCTGTCTAACAGCCAGGGAGAAGATCAGCATTTGTTTGATATAATTTGTTGTGACATGTTAATTGCATCTACTTGTAATTCTCTCTAATTGATGTTTGATATGTCTCAGGAAATTAGGCCAACTAGATAACACTGCAAATATTATGAATCCTCCCCGCCTTTCTCTTTTCCGTGGCAGGTCTGATGGATTCACAACACCTAAAAGTCTAATGTGTCAACATGCTGTGCAGCTATGCTTTGTATTCCCAAGGCTGTCAGGCTGACAAATCTAAGGTTACAAGCATACCACTGTATATTCAAAACACATTCAGGCACACTGCAGAGGGCCAGAGAAGACTAACCTGAGCAATTTTCACTGAGTTTTGGGTTGAACCGCCGGCATGGTATTCAACTTTGCTCCTCTTGACAATTTCGTCAAACCTGAAACAAAGAGAGGTACGTGACTCGTTACAAAAGACAACATTCAATACTAAAGTACAAAGTGAATTAGACCAGACCTGCCCATAACAGCTTAGTGTAGACACCCAATACAACCACCTGTAACATGGGCAGACTACAGGTTTCTCAACACTTGTCACATTACAACATGTTTAGGAGGAGTGAGGCATAAGTATCACAAATTAGGCAATAGAAAATCCATCAGTAGTGGTTACACAGGTGCAGCTAAAGCGACTGAACAAAAAAGAAAAGAAAAATAATGTCTCAAAACTTTCAGATGGACGGCTGTGAAATTTGGTAAAGACATTTATGGTCTCCAGTGAAAAATCCAAATGACTCTTTTGATCTCTCAAGCTTTTTATAACTATCAACATGTCATGTTTTCCACTAGTTCAACACAGGATACGATGCACCAAATTCCAGTGAGTGTCATTTGTAATATGAACCAGACCAACATAGCATGCTGAAACACTAATGTTAGCGTCACAACCTGCTCAAGTGCACATACATCTTAGCAGGCTTACATAACATACCTTAGCCAACATGCCAATGTACTAAAGTTAGCATACCAAATCCCCAGATATAAATAATTAAGTTCTGCATGCTAACATGTTGACATAATAAATTTAACATGCCAACAGAATCTTTGCACATTATCATGTAAAACTTAAAGCTGCACCCGTTGATATATTTTCAATGATCTGATAGATGACCAGAGTCTGCAGCTCTTTTAGCTTATTGTTTTGGTTTTGTTCAGTCTCATTGCTCTCATCACAACATGTGTTCAGCAAAAAAAATCTAATTTTCCAAGCACTATGTAAATGTCACACTGACAAAGTTAACATCTAACTGGTAAACATAGTGCAGCATTTAGCAGCTAAAGAATCAGATATTTCTCTCAAGAATTGGTGGAGAGAAAAACAAAGCTAAAATGACAGTGAATATAGGATTTACATTCAGGGCAGACACTAAAACGACCCTAAATGACTGCTAATGATTGCTCATTTCCCGCACTCTCAAGCACGAGACATAGCGTTCAGGTGTTACAGCTCGCTGTATGTGGATATATTTTTTTATAGTTTTTTTTTTTTTTTCAAATGTTTTGAGCTACTCTGCACCCTTGTTGAGAATTACTTGTTGAAGTCATCAACTTTCTATCCCAGCTGTAAAGAAGACAGCAGTGGGTCAACTGCAATATAATACATTTGAGAAGAGCATACTTTTTTTTTTGCAATACTGCTTAAATAGAAAAAAAAGGCATGAAAAAAATGCAGCGAGTAGACGCTGGATTTTGTTAAATGGGATACTTGACCACAAATGTTGCCAGAGATGAAAAGAGGCAGTTGGGGTCTGAATGTCAGCTTGATAAAAGCAAAAGAGGAACATTGTCCACACATGGTTGTAGTTAGTCATATAGTATTAAAGCAAGATGAGCAAGAGAAAGTTATTTCTGACGAACTTGAACTGCTTCCTCAAAAGGGATGCATAAAATAACATACATTTCTAATTTTTCACTTGCCAGAGATAGGCAGCTATTTTGTATTTTATATTTTATAGGTGATGTTTTCAGAGCAATTAGAAAAAAACAAGCTGTACAATTTCCTTGTGCGCAAACCCTCATCGCCAGATAAAGTGTTTACGGAGAGACCACATCTGATTAAATGTTTGATGTATGAACCATACAGCAAAGTTTAGAAATGACTGAAATAGACTAAACACAATGAGTCAAGAAAACAGACATGACATTGGGGAACGGGGGAGTAAACAATTGCTGAGTTTTTCAAACCACAGGAACACCCTTGGGTCTACAGTGAAATACTGACGGCGGTTTTATCATTCTTGTATTTTCCCCATCATACTGCCATTTCATACATCAATAGCATCGATGCATAGGCGTAACATAATGCAAAGCTGGGCTACGCTGCGAGATAGACTCTTTATCTGAGGAGCTGAGAACATGAATAATGTGTTTTCACCACATCGTTCATATAAACAACCTCCCAGGGGGCTGGCTACACAAACGTGTCCACCCTGCTAAGGAAATTGACCTAACTGCAGTCAAGATGATACGCCACATTAGGAGGTCCTTGGCTTTTTTTTTTTTTTTTTTCCCCTCAACCGTAAATTGAAGACTGTCCATTTGTAAGTGTATTTAGGGAGGGGAAAAGAAAATCCAATGACATGGTAAATAGTTCAAGGTGCACCATACCATTCCCACTGGTGTTGTATGTGCAATTCCACCTTAAATTAACTGCGAAAGAGGGGTTGCTGAGAAAATGCTTGAGTGTAATCCCAAGGGGCGCTGGTTATGTAAAGGCTCTGCTGCAGAATGTCAATGCGTTCCCTTCTTAGGATTAAAAAAACATTCTCAGGGGAGGTCAAAGGTTGCACGTTTTGGGGTGGCGAAGCAGAATTTTGAAGTTGAAACTAGAAATATGTCGTGTCTATTGCATGTACCCACCGCAGACAGGAGGAATATGTATGCAAAGTGCATCATGGCTTACCAACATATGTCAGCCAGAGGTGTTCAATACTGCAGCACAACCTGGTTTAACTAAGCATGGCCAAATTTTGAGCGAGTGTGAAAGTAACCTTTACTGCTTCAAAGAAAGTCTGCATATCATGTCTCAAGGCAAGGGGGTCTACCCAGGGCAGAATGTTCCTAATAAAGAAAAAAAAAAAAAAAAACTTTCCATGCAAGTGGAAAATATGCTAACCGGGAAAAAATCCTTCCTGAGACACCTGTTATGACTCCTTGACAAAGGAAGAATTTGAGCACTGTGGGTGTTTATAACATGAAGGCAGCCGAGGGACTCCAGAACCCATTTCAAATAGACACACAGCTTCAGAGGATTTGAGCTTTTTTTTTTTTTCTTCCTAGAAGTATTTGCTCCACCTTTCAGTGCAGACAGCATGGGGCCCTGCTCTTGGATGCCTCGAAAATCCCATCCGAAAAGGAGCAGCTGCCTCGAGACCTTTACACCCTCAAACATCATGTGATCCCATAGTAGTGACACCGTAAACGGCCCCCTTGGCCATTTAGGAAGAGAAAATCCCATTCCATCTACTGCAGTCTAAGCTCACTTGCTGATGGGAGGGAGCAGAGAAAAAGAAATTGTTTTGAACAAAATGTCCCCAGCCAGTAACCTCTTCTTTTAAAACCCACTGATGTTGTTCAGTGGAAGAGCAATTCCAACTATGCCATGAATTCCACAAATGTATGGACAGTGTGTTATATAACACATGCCTTACAAGAGACTGCCCCTGACACTCTGGTTAAAGACCACTCTTAACTAAAGGCAGTGTGCTATTTTTCAATTTCATACCTTCCAATTTGAGACTAATAGAGGCACTTATTTATTCAGCTTAAATCAAATTAGGGGAATTAGGCTACTGAAAGGAATATCTGTATTCAGAGGATATGAGAGTCCTCCTCAAAACCTAATACCTCTACATCTCCCTGGCTTAACACATTCAAATTGTTGGGGCAGATCACACAAGTCAGGAACATGGTGTTGTTTACATTCCTGGGGAAGGAGCCCCCACCGTTGTTTCCCATCAAGGGAAATATGAGAGCTTCCAAAGTACTATGAGTGTTCTCTGCCCCGAGTGACTCATGAGTTTCTCTCTCACCTCCCCAAAAAGAGCCAAGTAGATTATTTACATGAGGCAATAATTCAAGATTTGCTCCTCTAAGTCTCTTACATGGAGGGCAAGGCGAGCCCATTTACCCAATCCCTCTTCATTCGCCTTTGATGTTAGCCTATCTCGATAAGACCGGATGAGTGCCCTAAAATCCCCGTCGAGTGATTTCACAGGAAGAACAAGTCTCTGTTAATCAATGGCTAGATTGGATCTGGATCCTCGGGAGTGGTCCGCGTGAAAGTCCTCCCGAGTGTTTGAGTGCACACCGGGGTAATTCATCGCTAATGATCACCGCGGCACCCACTCTCCTCCGTTCGTCCTTATTTAATTGCCTCGTTCACGTTTAAACAGCTTACAAATCACAAGGACAGGCAGGGAAACATGATCAAACAGCCCCTATCACTAATCAGGGGAGGGCAAGGGAAGAAGTGAGAGGACTGGGGCTTCTTTGCTGCTCTCCTTGGGGGATTAGAAAAGGAGGAGGGTTGTACAGGAGCAGTAAATTATCTCTGCTTCAGCTATAGCAGGCAGGTACATTTAAACAGGCAGATCCATCTTTCTCTCTCTCCGACAGAAGCAGAGAGGGGCAATATAGCTAAAAGGCTTCGGTAATCCCAGTTTCAACACAGGCATCTGGAGTGGAGACAGGTTCCACCATTGATTAGATTCCCCCCAATCAGTGCGTGCATCCTACACCAGCCTTCCTTGGTAGTCTGGAGGCAGTACAAGGCCTGATGCACAGTAATTGTTTCCATAGGTCAGGCAGAGGAAAAACAGCTCGGGGACGTGATGAAAGGGAGATGGAAAGGGTGAGGAATATTGTTGTTTTTCCCCCCAATTAAATTGTTTGTCAAACCCTTCACAAAGGGTTACGCAGTTTATCTGTTTAAAATCAATACGCTCGTCTCAGTGTGAAAGCTTGTCCCGACACAAGACAGGCCCATTAATTATTCTGTTCTGTGCGCTATCGCCGGGCTGCTCAAGGTTGAGCCTTATCTTTTCTTATTTCAAATCAATAATTATCTTCTACCGTGCTCGCACTCCCCCTCAGAAATAGATGTGCTTTTCATTCAATGCCTGTAGAGTCTCTCTCTCTGTGTAGCAACTGGTGAAGAACGCAGAATGAATAGGACATTCTTATCAGTGGAACATTAGGGCAGGATGGGAATAGATGGCGAATGAATGAGGCGCATAAAAGTACTGAACACAAATGAGTCATGATTCAAACAGCAAGCGAGGCCTTGTTCCCGTCCTTTGACATCTTCTAATACACTACAGTACGAGATGAATGTTGATTTGCACAAACGCGTTACGATATCGCCATCGTTCAGGTATCT